GTCAGTGACGTGGCAGTCCAGCACCCTTAACCACCATGTCATCTGCCAGCCTCTATGCATTACTTTTATTTATTTATTTATTTTGGAGAGGTTTTTGCTGTGGGGCACATGTGCTTGCCGGAAAGACAGAGAGAGACAGAGAGACAGAAAGTGAGAAATCAACCCCCTGGGGGACGGCCATGCCACAATCCCTTCTTCATTCTCCTCTCAGGTTCTTGGGCACACACACACATGCACCCAGTGTGAATTTAAGCCGCCTGGTCCAGGACTTGAAACACCGTCGACTACATGGGAATCCAGCGGCATCGCCATTACGCCAACTACTGGTCCCCCTATGCATTACTTTTATACACAAAACCATTTTCCGTAGTGTAAAGCACAATGAACAATGGCAAACATTTAGCAAACCACTTCTTATTTTCAGCTTGATCTTATCTAAGGTAGATATTTAAAAAATAAGTTTACTTTCCCAAATATATCCTTTCATAAAATATTTAGAAGATGTTGAAAAATAGAAGGAAAAAAATCACCCAATAAGCTACAAGATGCCTTTGAAATTATCTTCATTACAATGAGTTTCCTTTGGATAAATACACACACACAGATACACACCCACCACACACATTTATAAAATATGTATTTGAATAGTTGTAATAACACTAATATACTATTTCATGTACTATATTTGATCAATTATCATAAAACATAGCAAGCATTTCACAATGGTATTAACAATATATAAGTAAACATAATTTGCTGCTTAGTTATATGTATTAAAATTAGGCAAATAAAAAAGTCAAAATGACTAGTGAGAACTACTATTAACATTCTGAGAGATGGCTAATGGGAAGCACTAGGCACTCATCTCCTCTTTAATCAAAGTATAAAATAATAATTACTCAGCAACATTTTGATTAGAATTTCCATGGAAAAACACTTGAAATAAAAAGAAATTATCTGAAGCTTCCTGACAAGTTAAAACTTGAGAGAAACAACATAGAATAAAAAATTGAAAGGTTGGCCCCATGACACTGTGGTTAAGGGAACTGGATCTCACATAGCTGACTGTGGTTCAGGTCCTAGCCCTGGCAGCTTGGGTGAGGCTAGCAGATGGCATAGTGGTTGAGGTACTGGATTCCCACGTGGGCAACCATGGTTCAAGCCCAGTGGCTTGAAACTCCCACTGGGTGCATGTGTGTTTGTACCTGAAATCCTGAGAAAAAAAAATAGAGGAGAGGGGATTGCGGCATGGCCGTCCCCTCTGGGGGGTGAATTCTGACTTTCTCTCTGTCTTCAACAAGTGCACATGTCCTATAGCAAAATTTCTTAAAACAAAAAAGAAAAAGAAAACTATGCTAGGTACATGTGTGTGCATGACTCAAGTCCCAACAAGATGGAAAGATGGAGGAGAAAATACTGTAGCATAACCGTATCCTATCGGGGGTGTTTTCTCTTTCTCTCTCCCTCTCTCTCTATTTCTCTGTCTTTCTCCAGAGAGTGCACATGCCCTATGGCAATAAAATTATTAAAAGCACAAAAAAATAAAAAATTAAAAAATGAGAATAAATAATAAAAATTATAATCTGGAAAAAATGATGAAAAGCTATTTGATGATGATGTGGATAATAATGCCTTTGTCTTGACTGATATGCATATTTGTGCTGAAAAAGAAATCTAATACACTGTAAAGATACATGTGATTAAATGTAATATAAAAATTTATAATAATAAATTTAAAAAGAAATTATAAAAATTAAAAATTGAATTTGATACACAAAAATGGAAAAAATTTCCATATTCCTGGAGTGGAATGGTCAATATAATCAAAATGTTAATTCCATGCCAATTAATTTAAATATTAAATACTATTCTGATCAAATTATGAGTGATATTTTTCAAAGAAAGAGAAAAGTCAATCATAAAATTTTTCTACAATCATAAGAGACCCCATATTGCCAAGGCAACATGAAAAAATAAAAAGATTGAAGACATTTCACTACTGTGCCTCAAAACGTATTACAAACCTGTGATAAAGTAGCATGAGGGACTAGCAGATGGCATAGTGGTTATTGTGCTGAACTCCCACATGACAAACCATGGTCCAAGTCTCAGATCCAGCAGCTTGAAAATTACAAGTGCATATACATGTGTATCCAAAACTCAAAGAGGAGAATGTAGAAAGGATTGTGGCATGGCCATCCCCCCAGGAGATGATTTCTCACCTTCCCTCTCACTTTCTCTGTTTCTCTCTGGAGTATGCACACACACAATATGACAAAAACCTTAAAAAAAAAAAAGAAAAGAAACAAACAAACAAACAGGATGATACTGGCACAAAAACAAGACTGTAGACCAATGGAACAGAATAGAGAATACAAAAATAAATCCCCATTCAGCCAATTGACTTTTGACAAAGTACACAAGACAACCCAGTGGGGAAAAGAATTATATCTGCAGTAAATAGTGCTGTAAAAACTGGATATCCATCTGCATAAAAATGAAACTGGACCCCTATCTCTCCTTATTAACAAAAATCAACTCAAAATAGATAAATGATCTAAATAGAAAGCCTCAGACTATAAAAATAATTGTGGAAAACATAGCAGATACACTTAAAGATATGGGAGTAGGCAAGGATTTCTTAAGTAAGAACCTAAAGCACAGGCAACAATTCCAAAATTAGACAAGAGGGATTACATCAAGCTAAAAATCTAACCAGCAAAGGAGACAATAGAGTAACAGGACAACCCTCAGAATGGAAGAAAATATTCACAAGAAATGCTTCAGATAAGAGATTAATGATGAGAATATATAAAAATCTCAAGCAGCTCCCCCTTAAAAAATTGAACAATCCAATTACTAAAGGGCAAACGAGCTGAACAGTTTTCTAAGGAAAACATATGAATGTCTAAACTGCATATGAAAAAAGTGTTCAATGTCTCTCATCATAATGGAAATGCAAATAAAAATTGTAATGATATATCATTTAACTCTGGGAAGAAAACTTCTCTTGGAGGCCAGTAGATGGCATAGTGGTTAAGGTGTTGTACTCCCACATGGCTGGCCATGGTTTGAGTCCAGGACCCGGTGACTTGAAAATCACAATGGGTGTATGTGCCTTATACCCAAAATCCTGAGAGGAGAATGAAGGAGAAGGGATTGATTGTGGCATGGACATCCCCATTACGGGAGTGATTTCTCACTTTCCCTCTCTCTGTCTCACCAGAGAGATCATGTGCCCTATGGTAAAAATTTAAAAAATAAATTTAAAAAAATTAAGCTTTTTATGAATAAAATAAAGAACAACTGTTGGTTAGACTGTGGTGAAAAGGGAACACTTCTAAACTTCTGGTGTGAATGTGAATTGATATAGTCACTATGGAAAGCAATACAGAGTATCCTCAAAAACCTACAAACAGGGAACCAGCAGTTAGTGTAATGGCTATGTTGCTGGACTCCCACGTAGTCGACCGTGGTTCGCATCCCGGACCCAGTGGCTTAAAACTCACACTGGGCGCATGTGCATGTGTACCCAAGATCCCGAGAGGAGAATGGAGGAGAAGGGATTGTGGCATGACCATCCACCCTGGGGGGGTGATTTCTCACTTTCTGTCTCTCTGTCTCTCTCTGTCTGTCTGGCAAGCACACACGCCCTATAGCGAAAATCCTACAAACAAAACTTCCATATGACCCAATAATCCCACTTTTTTGATATTTGCCATAACATGGGAAAATACTTAGTTAGAAAGATATTTGCACATCCATGTTATTGCAGCAATATTCACAATTACTAAGACATGGAATCAACCTAAGTGTCCAAGAACTGATGATTGGATTGAAAAAGTGTTGCATAGGAACCAGCAGTTGGCAAAATTGCTATGTCACTGGACTCCCATGTAGCTGACTGCAGTTCGAGCCCCATACTGGGCAGCTTGAAGTCACGTCAGGTGCATGTGCATATTTGAGCAAGATCCCAAAGGAGAATGGAGGAGAAGGGATTGAGGCATAGCCAGCCCCCCTGGGAGGGTGATTTCTTGCTTTCTGTCTCTCTGTCTTTCTGGTGAGTGCACATACTTTATAGCAAAAACATCTCCAAAAAAAGGAAAGAAAAAGAAAAAGAAAAGAAAAAGTATTGCATATAGAATATTACTCAGTCATAAGGAAAAATGAAACACTATTACTCGATACAAAGTGGATAAATATAGGAGATTTAATGCTAAGTGAACTAAGCCAGACTATTAGACAAACATTGTGTATGTTTCCATCCAATATGGGAACTCAGAGCTTCCTATTTAGCTTCCAGAATTGTGCAGCAGTGCATATAGTATCTGTGCCACTGAGGCTGTGTGAGGTTTCTATTGCTAATAAATCTTGTAACTTAAATGACATTCACTTTCCTCAAATGCTGTTAGAAAATTCTAATGCCTTTAATCAAGATTATTGCAAGTATTTTAAAAAGGTATATTATGTGGTTATATTTGTTGGGAAAAAAATGGCTTCACACATACTGCATATTTTTACTTAAATAATAATTATTCATATATTTCAGTAACAAAAATATCTGATGTAAACTAAATGGAAAAATAACATACCAAAAATTTGGAAAAGCTGCAACAAATTTGCTTATACAGACATTTAAATTTTTCACAAGTTTCTTTAAAAAAAGATAAAAACATTAAATCAATACTATTTTATACATCATGCAACTACAAGAAGAGCAGAGAAAACTGAAAGCTAGTAGTTACAAAGATGTTACTATTAGAATGAATATCCTTAAGAGATGAAAACCATACAAAGAATCCTTATATCCACTAGTTGGCTTTTTAACAAAATCAACAAACTGACAAAACTTTAGATAAGTCATCCTAGAAAAGAGAGAGAAGATACTACTCAATAAATCAGATTTGGAAATAAAAACATAATGGTCATACAGAAATAAAAAGATTATAGGATAATGCAACAAATAAGGACTTAAGAGATAAAATTTTAAAATGACTGTTTCATCTGGAGCCTCTTCTTTTTTTAAAACTTTTCAAGGAGTTCTTATCAGATCTTATCAGAATAATGTAGCACTTGGGGGCAAAGATACAGCCTAGGAGCCCCGCACTGGAGGTGAGGATGGAAAAGACCTCTATAGCCACCATTAACTTCCCCTTGGTGCTGTGGTAAACAGGAACAAAGGCAACCCAGACACTACAGAACACCAGCATACTGAATGTGAGTAACTTGGTTTCATTGAATGTGTCAGGCAGGTTCCTGGCCAGAAAAGCCACAGTGAAGCTCCCCAATGCCAAGAAGCCCAGGTAGCCCAGGACACAGTAGAAGGCAGTGACTGAACCCTTGTTGCACACAATGATGAGGCTTCTGGGCTCAGAGTGTGAGTCTATGTCAATGAAAGGAGGAGAGATTCCCAACCAGATTCCACATATCTCCACTTGGATCAGGAGGCAAACAGGAGTGACACCCTTCGAAGCTCCTGATAACAGGAAATATCTCATTGTTCTTCCAGGATTTATGGCTTTGAATGCCAGAATCACGGTAATGGTTTTGGCCAAAACAGTGGAAACAGCCACAGTGAACACAAGAGCAAATGTGACTTGTTGGAGGATGCAGGTGGCTGTGTTAGGATGGCCAATGAAAAGCAAGGAGCAAAGGAAGCACAGCATTAGGGAAATGAGCATAATAAAGCTGAGAGTCTGGTTATTTGCTTTGGCAATGGGAGTGTCTCTGTGTTTCACAAAAATTTCTAAAACCACAGCTGTAAGGACAGAGAAGCAGAGTGCCATGCAGGCTATGGTCATCCCCAAAGCATCCTCAAAAGACAAGAATGTCACAGGCTTGAGGAGGCAATAAGTTCTCTCCCTGTTTGGATACTCTTTTTTTTTTTTTTTTTTTTTTTTTGGAGAGATTTTCACTGTAGGACGCGTGCGCTCGCCAGACAGACAGAAAGAGACATAGAGACAGAAAGCGAGAAATCACCCCCCAGGGGGGATGGTCACGCCGCAATCCCTTCTCCTCCATTCTCCTCTTGGGATCTTGGGCACGCACGCACACGCGCCCGGCGTGAGTTTTAAGCCACCGGGTCCGGGACACGAACCGCGGTCGACTACGTGGGAGTCCAGCGACATAGCCATTACGCTAACTGCTGGTTCCCCCTGTTTGGATACTCTTGAGGTAGGCACTGGATACACTGCTTTGCATCTGGTGAAAAAGCTTGCAAAAGGCATTTCAATTTTACAAATTATCTTTTCATTTTGAAGGAACAGTTACCTTTGTATCATTTTGAGTACATCCAGCCTCTGATGTAATACCAACTTACAATAAATTAAAATGATATATTAATGACACTGGAAGAATTCTTTCATCTGGTGATAATACCAAAGCCATTGAAGCAGTATCTCAGTAAAAAAAGAAAAAAAATCCTTATTTTCTATTTTTTTATTTATTAATTTATTTCTCTTTTTTAACATTAATATGCTATACATCATTACAGTAAACAAAATGAATTTTTCTTCCAAAATACACTGTCTGTTGGCTCAATCAAGCACATCAACATATATGTTATCAACAAACAATTTTTCATTTATGTCTTGTTACTTTGCAGTTTTTGTTTGTTTGTTTGTTTGTTTTTGCCATCCTTGATTCCCTATCTCTAACCCTCTGCCCTGTCCAACCCTCCTCCCATTGTCTCTGGTATTCATGATTGCTTTCTATGCCTATCCCCCCCCATTTAATTGATTTGCTAATGAACTTAATTTTTCTAAATAATTGCAATAGCAAGCACAGCTGATATATACATACACAAGAACCCATGTCTGACTTTAGGCATAAACCTCAGTGAGTAGAATGAATGTACTATAAAATAGTACCTAGCTGGGGCTATATAGTTTACTGTGGTCATCAAATACACAGTTTTTTCTTTAAATTTTGATAACAGTTTTAGTATTTTTTTCTCTGAATTTTTTTTTTAATTTACAATCATTCCCTGAGCATCATCACAACATACTAAATGTGGTTTCCCCTCTAGATTAAACTGCATAGTGGCTTAATCATGCATGTTATCATCCATAAAATTCCACTACTACTTGCATATATATATGTTTTTTACCCCATGTCTGACCCTCTGCCCTATTCCACTCTCTTGTTACACTGTCTCTGCTGTCTACAGTTGTCTTCAATTCCTTTTCTCCCAACATTTTGTTGACCACCCAATATCCTAAGTAATCTAACTACTTTCAATAGCAAGTTCAGCTGGTGGTTTCAAGAAAGGCAGTTTTGAACTGGTAAGGATATTTCCTTGAAACATAAAGCCTAGAAACAGGTTAGTATTTTGTTCAAATAGTAGGTACCTGAATCTATTGACAGCTCAACACAGGATAAAAATTCTTATTTCTCTTTTTTTTTTTTTTGAGAGGTTTTTCGCTATAGGGTGCGTGCGCTCGCCAGACAGACAGAGAGAGACATAGAGACAGAAAGCGAGAAATAACCCCCCAGGGGGGATGGTCACGCCGCAATCCCTTCTCCTCTATTCTCCTCTCAGGATCTTGGGCATGCATGCACATGTGCCCGGCGTGAGTT